AGAGAGAGAGAGAGAGAGAGAGAGAGAGAGAGAGAGAGAGAGAGAGAGAGAGAGAGAGAGAGAGAGAACGGGTCTGGGACACCTTCGGCCGTGGGAGATCCTGCTGTGGGACCAAGAAAATTCCCAGTCGGAACATAGTAGGCCCCAGCGAGGCCTGGAAAACGGGCCTGGGACACCTTCGATCAAGGTGCAAATTGAAAACAGTACCAGGTCAGGCTAGTTGGGATACGGGCTCAGGCTACGGGCCCGGCAATTAAAAAAAAGAGTGGTGGTTTATTAAACTATTATTATTATACTATTTTGAGAAGTTATGACTATACATACCCCTTGTTATGTTTATGCCTTCTCAGCCGTGTGTTCGTTAAACCACCACCGTCTTCATCCGAATAGAACGCCCGGTCATTATAGCCGTATTTGGTGCAACTTTCAGTCTACATGCAGCGATAATGACCGGGCGTTCTATTCGGGTGAAGACGGCAGTACCTTTGGGCAGCTTTTTCCGATCCTGGAAACGCCATGCATACGAAAGAAAAATGAACCGGTGTCGGCCTCCTTTTGGCTGGCGCTGCTAGCCATTTTTCTCCTGTAGGCCCAGGCACGACACTTGTGGGGCATTAATGGCCAAGCCGGAAAAAAATGGCTGGGCCAAGTACTGGCGGTTTAATAAATTCATACGGCTATACATACGCCTTGCACCACAAACAACCGACGGGCATAGCTCAGTTGGTACACACCCTTAAACTGTTGAAATGCAGACCTGAGTTTGAATCCTGATCGAACCGGATGAACCAGATGAACGGAATTCGTGAATCACCTAGGGTCAGTCAGTTTCATGATGATATCTCAAGGGCGTCGCGGCACTGTCACCCTTTTTAAAGAGGAAGTGACAACGAGGGTATGTGCAATGTACACAGTTGGGATGGACCATTTCTCGATTTATGTGTATCATCCTTGCACGGAAATTGACAGACCCCCCCCCCAAAAAAAAGGTTGGGATGATAATATATACTATATAGTATATAGTAGTGGCCAATTCTAGCACAGTGGGATGAAGTCTAGTGTTATGAATGCGGCCATAGCGCAGGACTGCACATCCTCCACACAAAGGCTACCAGCACTGATGATACTGGCCTCTCCCAGCTGTCCGGGATGGCTGTATGGACATCCTCGGGGACCGATGGCCTTGTTCAGCCTAGCACCAAAAGGTTAAATTTTGAGAAAGTTTGAAGAATTCACAAAATTTAAAAAAAAAAAAAAAAAAAAAAAAAAAGTTGAAGATTCATGCATAAACAAACAACTTTGGCCTGAGGGTTATCTCTAAATACTAGGGAATACTAAATACTAAATGAATTAAAAATAATAAACAGTAAATTTGAAAATTTGCAAAAAAAAAAAAAAAAAGGAGTTTGCGGCTAGGCTACCAGCCGGGCCGCCCAGGTCACCCTATTTTCCCGGGCGGCCTGGCCGTGCAAGGACTAGGGAAGGTCCCAGCCAAAAAAAAAAACAAAAAAAGGAAACCAAAAAATCCGAAAAGAAACTATGTTATGCAGAAAAATACAGTGCACAACTTTTGCCTCAGGTGATATCGAAATTCTTTACCAAATTTAAAGTACAAAATTATTATTATTGTTTTTATTATATTATTATTATTATTATTATTATTATTATTATTATTATTATTATTATTATTATGCAATGAGACTCGCTTCCTTGTTCACTTCACATACATGCAAACAGATGCCAATCCACGCTGGCGCTGTGCGACCACACAAAGCTCAGAGATATTCAAGTCGAGAACACAGTTTGGATACAAACTGCCTTCCAACTGGCTATGGCGCCTGAGCGCTCACACATCCTCTGTCTGACACTGTCTTCACACAACTGTTTGCACGCACTCGACTCTGGATCTCCCTGGATATCCCACACACACAAACTCAGTACCAAACACACGCATGCACACTGAGCTCCACCTCTATGCTACAGCGGCTATGGCCGCTCTACCACTACTGGCTATGGACGATCTATCTCCCTTCAGCCCACTTCAGCCTCGGGCTTCTGCAGATCACCTCGCACAAGATGCCTGGGCAGCGCTTCCGCATGGCTCACGCAGGAATGAGTGAATGGCTGGACGCTGCCTCTTGATTTATACTTCTGTAAGTCGCTGGTCTGCCCTTTTCCACCGGGCCCATGGTGCACACAGTCCCTCATGGTACTTGCTGACTGTACAAAGTGAGACTGGGACTTGGTACCGCTGACTAAGCGAAGTTGGACTCACCACTTGCCTACTTGCCTCTGGTCTGCTGTGAGTAACATGAGAAAAACTCGAAAGGCCACTTCCGGACCTTCCAGAAGTCTGTGGACTTGGCCTTTCGGGACTGTAGCAGCTACGACCTTGACCTTTCAGGACTGTAGCAGCTACGACCTTGACCTTTCAGAGTTGCTACAGCTACGGCCTCTACACAACTATGACCCCTACCTTCTTAACCCCAAAAAAACGTACGTACGTTATATTCGAATTACCTCTGGAAATCGGGTTTTCAGAAATCGCTTGTTTTTCCCCGAATACAACGTACGTTCGAATATAACGTACGTACGTTGCATTCGAATACAACGTACGTATGTTGTATTCAAATTTTTGGAACTTCGATTTTTCAAAAATAATCAAAAAAATCCGAAAAAAAAAAAATGTTATACAACAATGCAATACAAACAACGTTTGCCTGAGGGTCTTATCGAAATTCACGAGGATGAAAATGTTTTTTACTGATTTTTTCAGAATTTTGATTAAAAAAAAAAACAGTAAAAGATCCGAAAAAAAATTATGTTGTACAACATTGCAATGCAAACAACTTTTGCCTGAGGGTCTTGGCGAAATTCCCAACCAAATTTGAGATAAAAATAAAAACAATGGCGGTACTACAAGCTTCTGAAAATTTGTACCCTAAAACTCGTTCTATAACGTACGTACGTTGTATTCGAATACAACGTACCCCGTACGTACGTTGTATTCGTATACGAGGTACGTACGTTTTTTTCGGGTTAAGAAGGTAGTCGACAGATCTGCAGATCGAACCCCTACAGCTACACAGACCTACGACAGGCAACAGGCAACTACGAAAACACAGGTCACGGGTTCAAACACACAGGGGTCGACTCGATACTGTACACGGGTGTGGTAAGGTCTAGGGATCGAGCCCTGGGATCTGCATCTGCTACTGCTAAGGTGAAAACCGTTTCACTCCCGCCGGCCTAAATTCGAGGTCCTCCGAGAATACTTCAGTCTAAGGTAGGACCCCTACCTTTCTTATCCCTCTCGTAAGCTCGAACTATATCAGGAGCGGTCTCTAGAAGCTCTGTTGGGGTAAAGCAGCGGTCGTCTTCCGGCTCTTGATAGGCAAATTGAACCTTGTACGGTTTTTGTGAACGACCTCTACCTCCTGTTCTGAACACATCTTCGCCTACAATGCTGTCAATGTCGTACCTTCCTTCCATGTCTGGAGGGATCATGGGCCTCAGTGAGGGAAACTGTTGACTTGTGGTACAAGGCAACAACTTTGACGCATGAAAGACTGGGTAGGTGTGGAGGTGTGCTGGAATCTCTATGGTGTAGGATGGTCCATCCTTTCCACCCTTGACTTCCAAGACAGGCCACAGTCCTCTATACGCAGGCAGGTAACAGTTTTTGCGAGATGT